GAAGGAACAGTCCCGAGTCGGCCAGTGGGCCCAAGGCCACGCCATTGGGGGGAGGTATCAGTTAAACGATGGTCAGGAAGTGAAGCAAAAAAGCACCCCCAACCAGGGAGTGCCAAGGTGTGTCGTTGGACATAGTGGTCATCGTGCTCCTGTCCTTGTCCTGATACTTCTTGTTGGAAGACAGAGCTTTTCCAAATACACCTCCAGCTGGACCATTGAGATCCCTCCGCCCCAAGCCCAGACCTCCGCCGTCATGACTTGTTCATGATGTCGATTCCAGAGGTCTGGACCCATTCCCCGGGACCCGTTTTTCATCCCGATGCGTTTTGTGAAGGTCCCGAGGCCCAGTAGAGGCCTCCAGAGGCTGAACCTTGCGACAAGTCCTGGTCTTGGTTTTGTTCATGGCTCGAGGGGATCTGCGAGGGACGCCACTTTTGGGAGGTTCCCGGGCCTCCCTCGGAGCCCTCCTGGTGGGACGCCCTCCACCTGCTGCCCGTCGAGTCCCCGTATCTGTTGGATGCGATCGTGCATCTTGGGGAGGGTAACCCCAGGAAGCATTTAAGAACCCCCCCCCCCCCTTCCGGCAAATCGATAACCCTTCCGCACCCTGGAAGCGTTCCTCCCCCCCTCCTACATCTCCATTTCCTCCTCCTCCTCCTCCTCCTCCTCCTCCTCCTCCTCTCCTCCACCCACGAACTTCCTCCTGCCCCCTCCTCCTCCTCCTCCTTACCCTCGGATGTTCTGTGTGTTCTGGCCGACGGAGGGCCTCATATTCTTCAAGGGTGCTCTTCTGGCCCAGGTCCGACTGCAGGGGCGCCGTGCTTCGTCAGCCCAGGCCCTCCCAGGGTGGGGCTGGAGCAGGTGGGGTCGGAGCAGCGCGCCCCAACGCCGATGCATCGGCGATGCGACACGGTCTGGAGTCCGATCTTCTCCGCCCCGAGGGTCTTGCAGCATGCTCTTCTGGCCCGGGTCCGGCTGTGAGGACCGCTGCGGGCTCAGGAGGGGCTTCAGTCTGCGGGCCGTTTCCCGCATGGAGGTGGGAGATGGACGGTTCGCGGCCCAGGTTTACGTCGGGCCTGTTCCTCTACAGGAGGAGTATTCAAAAATAGCTTGTTCACAAAAATTATCCCAGTGCGACCCTACCTAGGAGTTGGAGCCCCTAGAAAAGCAGCATTAGTAGTAACAGTAAAGCTAAGGTAAAGCTCAGCTAAAGCTCAGCGAAAGCTAAGCTAAAACTAAGGTAAAGCTAAGGCAACGTTAAGGTCAAGCTAAGCTAAAGCTAAGCTAAAGCTAAGCTAAAACTAAGCTAACGTTAAGCTAACGCTAAGCGAAATCTAAGCTAACGCTAAGCTAACGCTAAGCTAAAGCTAAGCTAAAGCTAAGCTAAAGCTAAGCCACAGCTAAGCTAAAGCTAAGCTAAAGCTAAGCTAAAGCTAAGCTAAAGCTGAGCAGCATCTAAGCTAAAGCTAAGCTACAGCTAAGCTAAATCTAAGCTAAAGCTAAGCTAAAGCTAAGCTACAGCTAAGCTACAGCTAAGCTCAAGCTAAGCTACAGCTAAGCTAAAGCTAAGCTAAACGCTAAGCGAAACGCTAAGCGAAACGCTAAGCTAAAGCTAAGCTACAGCTAAGCCAAAGCTAAGCTAAAGCTAAAGCTAAGCTAAAGCTAAAGCTAAAGCTAAAGCTAAAGCTAAAGCTCCCAGGGGACTGGGGGGAACCGCTCCCAGGGGACCGGGGGAACCGCCCGGGGCGCTTTCCACTGCCCGGCCCCTTTAAGCTAAGAGAGTAAGAACCCTTCTAGGCAGAGCCTAGGTAGGGAAAAAACAGTCAGCGGACGACTTTTTTAATATTTTTGAGCATTTGTGGCGAATTGTTTGATCATTTCTGATTTTTCATCCAAATTCCGCGTGTAGGGGGTCACGCCCGACCTCAGCCGAAGCTGGCCGTGGCCGGAAGACAGCCGCCGCGTTCCCTGTCATGATGGCGATCGTCTGCTCATTCCTTGGTTTGCCGCTGGGCGCGGGCCCTCCTCCCCCCCCCCCGTCCCTCCCCCGCCGCCGTGGAGTGGATCTGGGCTGTTCTTGGCACCTCCTCTTGTGCAGAAGCCCAGCAGTAGGAACCGGCAAGCATCCAGTGCAGGGGGATTGTTGATATTCATTTGCACGTGTAGTTGTTCGCCGATCGCACAGCATTCCAGTCAGTAGTGTGTCACATGTACACTTGCGGACGTCATGCCTTAGCCATTTCAGTCAAGAGATGTCCTGAAGAGGCTCCAGAGGCCGAATGCTAGACAGAGCCACTCAAAAAAGGCACGGGCTTGAGAGCGCCGTACGAGTCAGGCGAACCTCCCCCATCGGACGCACTGCTGCAAAAAGTCTCATTCAGCTGATGTCCGGAGCCGGACCCCCCCCGTCCCCCCCTGCCCTACCGCCCAATGTCGAAGCGCCGGATAACATATTGCTCACTTCCTTGTTCTGCGTTCCTGCTGGCAGCACGATGACCATGATTCCGTGTTTAGAGTGCACTCGCGCGCGACAGCGTCTGGTAGTCGATGAGAACGCGCCGACCTAGCGTCCAGCAGCGTCGAACCAGCGTTGGCTCGCGTCGACTCAGCGTCGACGTGGCATTGGCTAGCGCCGTCTCGCAAGGGCCCGTAAGATGGCACGGGAGACTCCCAGGAGTTGCCACCGAACGAGGCGCCGGGGCTCCCGGTGCTGCTGGGGCGCGTGAGCGGCGCCGCGAGGGGCCCGCGGGGCGGTGCGGCGGCCTGCGCGGGCGCGTGGGACGCCACCGCGCTGGCCTAGCGGGCGCGTGGGGCCTTCCTCGCCAGGCGCCAGGCCATCGCGGGCCGCCGGCCCTGACGCCGCCACGCTTCTTCAGAGGAGGGGCAAAAGGGTGCCCATGCCTCTACCCTTTCCTCGGTTTCCCATTTTCGGGGCCTCCTTGGAGGCCGTCGTCGCCGCCGCTGGGTTCGCCTCGAAAGTCTGGTCAGGACGCACCCCGTGAGAGGTCCGGGGGGCACAATGGAGGCCCATGCCAAGAAACACCCTGCTTGCCTCCAGGATGCCTTGGGTTTTGATGGTTTTGCTGTGGAAGGCGTGACGCTCCCACCGCAAAAATCAGTGGAAGTGTCCTGGGGCCTCAGGGTTGGGCTTCTTGTGGAAGGTTTCCTGTGGAAAGGCCCCCGCTTCGGCGACTACAGAGGGTGTGCTTACGCCCGGGTGCGGTTTGTGATCGGCGCCGTTGGGGCCCGGGGGGACGACGTTGTCCTCGTCGTGCCTCTTCGGGGCGCGGCGGAGACCCCTATGGAGGGCCCCGCCCCTCCCCCCGGGTGTCCCCCCAGGGGGGTGCCAGTTGCAGGCCACACCCGTCGGAGTCGCCGACCACTGTGTAGCGGTGTCGGCACCTGTTGGTTTCTCCGCTGCTCGGCCTCGCGGCCTCGCGGCGCCGCACGCCGCCCCGCCTCGCGGCCTCTCGCGGAAGGCCGCTTCTTCTCCTGCAGGGGCAGGAGGCGGCGTGCTCTGCCCAAGCGCTGCGCGCCTCGAGCCGCCGCGCGCCTCTTTTTTGGGGCTGCTCGTGTCGATGCTCGTCTCGGGCCTCTCGTGGCCTCGAGCTCGTAGGACAACGTTGGCTTTAAGTCGGGCGCGTCCCTCTACGCAAACATTGTCAAACAATGGTATGGGGACGACTTTTCGACCATGTTTGGGTATGTTTGTGTATTGTTTGATTATTTTCTATTGTGCGTCCAGAATCCGCCTGTAGGGGGGCATGCCCGACCTAACGTTGGCTTTCTGTGCTGCGCTTGTCCTTGTCAAAGGGCGCTCGTCGAAGCTGGGGCTCTACGCCAACGGTGAAGTACCCCAAACAACTCATCAGAGGGTCCTCGCTGCTCCTCTTCTCTCTGAGCGAGGGCCCTCTGCAGACGTCGCGCTCAGTGCCGCGAGTCGCAAGTTTGGCGGAGCCTGTCGCACAGCCTGGCACGGCATCGACAGAGTTGCTGGCTGGTGGTTCGAACGGACAACAAAGAAAAACTAGCACGTTCCAGTGGCGGTGGCGGTAGTAGGAGTGGTGGTTGCGGCAACGGCAGCGTCAGAACCATCGCGTCCATGAGTGTTCAGCACCAATCCCAGTACCAGTATGAGCACCAGTACCATCAGCGACAACAGCAGCACCAGCACCAGCACCAGCACCAGCATTTTCTCCAGCGGAAGCAGCATCAGCACCATCAGCAGCAGCAGCAGCAGCAACACCAGCAGCAGCATCATCACTTGATCGTTGTTACATCTAATGCTCGGCACCCTTACGGATAAAACTCGAAGCATGTATCGATGCAGGTAGTCGGATCCATGGCCTATTCAAGAGCGTAGTGATCGCATGCACGTGCGTCGTAGGTCTCTCAACCCTAGCGGCGTACAATTTTCTACAGGTATCAGTTCTGGCTCCCACCTGTTCCTCCTCTTACTGTTCTGGCTGCTGTTGGTCCATCCTTTTCCTCCTCCTCGGCCTCCTCCTCCTCCTTCTCCCCCTCCTCATCCTCCTGTATTTAACCTGTCTTGTGTGCTCCGCGTATCTCATCGCTCCAGGGTGTACCGATCCATACGCGTCCAACCGTGATGCCCTGGCTCAGGCCAGGCGTTCGCAGTACCGAGGGCGTAAGGCACCAAACAATCGTTCCAAGCGATTGGCGAGCGTTGCGGTGATCAAAACAGGGGGTGCAATGGACGATAGTCGCGGGAGCGTGTCCCATCGTTCTTCGGTTTTGAAGGTTCCGACCAGCAGCAGAGCCAGCCCCATCAACGGCAGCAACACCAACACAAGGACGAAGACCAGCAGCACCAGCAGCACCAGCAGCACCATCACCAGCTCCAGTGGCTCCATCACCTGCACCAGCAGTAGCGCCAGCCAGGCCTGGAGGCAGGGGCAGGGGGCTGAAGCGGGACAGCGAAGAGGCGCACGGGGTTGCCGCCACACCTTGTGCGATGTCGCCCCGGCCTCGGCCCAGAGGTCTTGGTAACGCTGCCTTGCGGCCATTGGTACCACAGCGACTGCATCCGAGAGTGGCTGGGCGTCGCTCGGCTGTGCCCCTTGTGCAAGGGTGGCCGGGCTGTGCCTCACGGCTGGCGGAATTTGGGGAGGGAGCGGGGGCCAGCACCAGGAGGAGGAGGAGGAGGAGGAGGAGGAGGAGGAGGAGGAGGAGGAGGAGGAGGAGGAGCGAGGGGAGGCGGGAGGTTGGCTGGCTTTGTGAAATTTGTGTTTGCCTTCTTGCGGGCCTGCTTGCCTGCATGTTTGTTTGTCTGCCTGCCTGTCTGTGTGTCTGCTTGTCTGTCTTTCTGTCTGTCTGTCTGCTAGTCAGTCAGTCAGTCAGTCAGTCAGTCAGTCTGTCTGTCTGTCTGTCCTTGTACCTATGTATACAGATTTACAGATGTGGATGTACATACGCATGTCTAGATCCCTCTCTCTCTGTCCTCTCCCTCTCTCTGCATGTGTGCCGATCGGCACCGTTCTCGCTCTATGAGTTTCCTTATAGCAGGCTGTTCGTAATGCTTATGTTAGTTATGTGGCTAAGTCCCTCACTCTCTCTCTCTCTCTCTTTCTTTCTGTGTGTTGCGCTCTCTCTCTCTCTCTCTCTCTCTCTCTCTCTCCCTGTCCCTATATTTACCCGATTGTCTCTCATCACTCATATTTCCTCTTCTCTCCCTCTCTCTGTCGCTTCATCTTTGTTGCTTATCCCTCTTCCTCTCTCTCTCTCTCTCTCTGTCTCTCTCTCTCTCTCTCTCCCTCCCTCCCTCCCTCCCTCGCTCTATGTAGCCTTCGTCCTCTCTCTTGTGTTGTCGGCCTCTCCCCCGCCCTCTTTGTTTGCTGTACGCGTTGGTATTCTGAATGCATGCCATACATCGATCCCCCTCTTTCTCCCCCTCTCTCTCTAGGCATTCGCATGTACATAATGATGCAGATGCATGTGTGTATATGTGTATGGTGTTCCGTCTTTCTCTTTCCACATCTGTAAGTCGTATGTGTATACATATATATACGTATGTGTACATCCGCTTCCCCTGCCGCGAGCCATGTCTTGGTGTCGTTTGGGGAGAGGGGTATCGAGAGAGAGAGAGAGAGCGATAGTGATACAGCGAGAGAAAGAGAGCGAGAGAGAGAGAGTACATGAAAGAGAGGGGGAATAGAGAGAGAGGCATATAGGCAGAGACCATGTCCCTCTATGTCCAGATACATGTGTTGTTGTGTGAACAGGGCGAGAGGGATATTTTATCATATCAACATATGGAGAGATATAGAGAGAGGGAGAGAGAGAGAGAGAGACAGGGATAACGAGAGAGTGACAGAGTAATGTTGTGGCCATTCGGGCCCCAGCTGTGCCGTTGGAAGGGAAGCATCTGCATTTCGAGCTGCCCCTGCCAGCCATGAGACTGGAGGAGGGAGACTTCCATGTGGGCACTCGTCGGCTTGCCAGCGGGCTACCATGTGCCTGTGCAGGTTGTGCAGGGTGTAACAGCTGTGTTCATTGAGTTTGAGCGGCGTTATCATCCACCACCTGACAGCGGCTATGCTTGAACCTAAGTGCACACGGACACTTCCGCCCCCCTAGGTTGGCCATCAGCCCATTTTTCCGAGAGCCAGCATCCTCATTCCAATCCGCCTAATTTTCTCCCGCTTGCTTCCTGGATTTGCAAGCTTGGAATACTTCGGACATGTTAGTTCATCCCATGCTTCTGCCGCAAGCCAGGCAGCGTCGTCTCGCAAGACGCGGACTGATCGGAGAGCGCTTTGCTTGGGATATGTTGGCCACGGTGCCCCCCCAGGAGGTCCAGCCTCCGACTTCCTGTTCCCTCAGGGCCTCCTCGTCTCGTCTCCAGCTCGCCACAGTCTCGCCTTCTGGGGGACATAGCTCCAGGCGGCCCAGAGCCCTCAGCCAGTCAGGGTCCGATCGAGCAGAGCTGCGAGAGTGGATGCTGATCATGATCGGACGAGGACGGGCGAGAGGCGCAGGAGGAGGCGGAGGAGGAGGGGCAGGAGGGGGAGGATGAAGAGGAGGAGGAGGAGGAGGAGGATCAAGAGGAGGATCAAGAGGAGGATCAAGAGGAGGATCAAGAGGAGGATCAAGAGGAGGAGGAGGAGGAGGAGGACGAGGAGGAGGAGGAGGAGGAGGAGGAGGAGGAGCAGGAGCAGGACAACGAGGAGGAGCATTAGGAGGGGGATGAGGAACAGCACCAGGAGGCCAGGAGGAGGCTTTGCTTCCGGGACCCTCAGCCGAGCGAACCAGATCCCCGGGCGCTAGAGTCCTAGTGTGCTGGAGAAGCATCTCGCGGCCGAGGTCGCACCGCAACGGCCTGGGCGGTTAGACCGCCCCCTCCCGCAGGAAGGAAATCTCGGCCACGCCTCGGAGGTGAGCCGACCTCGGCCACGCCCGGGACGTGAGCTTCCCCCCCACCCCCCCGCAGGACTTCCCCGTCTTCTCGGAGGGTCCAGCGGTGTTCCTGGCCCAAGGCTGCCCCGAGCATTCCAGGGAGGCCCCAATGGTCGTGGCATCGCTCGGACGTGCGCGTTCTTCCCGGGGAGGCCAGCGTTAGAACATGTGGACCACCTTGGAACATCTGGGAGCATCTAACAAGAGAACACCCACGAGACCAAACAATGCACGGGGAATAGACGTCCGAGCGATGGCATTCCAGGGACTCCAGGGAGGCCCCAGGGCTGCCAGCCATCCCAAGGATTCCAGGGAGGCGTGCCAGGGATTCCAGGGATCCCAGGGCTGCCCCAGGCATCTCATGGAGGTCCCAGAGGAATCCGGAGCACCCCGGAGCACGAGGCCCAGGGGCCATGTCACGGGTCCCAGGGCGGGCCCGACGGGTTGAAGCCACCTCGGGCTGGGGCCGCCTCTGCCACCGCCCGACCCCGTCTGCTAGTTCTTGCCTGTTGCCCCCAGTCGTTCTATTCAACGCCGCACTATTTAATATTGCGCGCTCTTCGAATTCTCTGCCGGTCCGTGAGTGACTGGTGTGACCTTGCGGGGCTGCTACCTGAACTCGGCAGCTGCACATCGACGTAGCCGAGCCGCGCGAGATTCGTCGCCGAATCTCAGTCTCAGCCTCTCGATGCCCATTCTCTCTCTGTCTGTCTGTACATGCTCCTTCCTTTCCCCTCCTCTTCCCCCGCCCTTTTTGTTGTTTCTCTCTCTACCTCTCTCTCTTTCTCGTTATCTCTCTGTCTCTCTCGTTCAATATATATATATATATATATATATATGGGTCTTCGCTGGGCGTTCCCAGCACGCGCAGGATGCGAAGATCGGTGATAAGAACATGCCCCGCCCTCGGAGAATAGCATGCGCAATCAGCAGCAGTGCACCTGTCACCCACAAGAGGCACGTTCCAGAAAGGTCCCCGTCTTCGGCAGCTGGCGGAAGCAAAACATCGACGGCTGCGTCTGTGGAAGCTGGCGGAATGCGGGCAAAAGAAGGCGGAAGTAAGACACATACTTTAACAGCCGCGGGTCCGGTATTTCCAGAGTTGTCCACACATGTGGATTTGGCCTTTGGCCTAAGTGTGGAGGGGTAGTAGTGTGGCTGGAGGACGAGTGGAAGATGTGTGTATATATGTATAGATATAGAGAGAGAGAGGAATGGGGAGATAGACAGCGAGAGCGAGAGAGAAACGGAAGAAGGGGATTACTACAGCGAAACATGCATATTCACAGCTTGGTCCGCGCTGGAGGCCGTCATGCGTGGACACGAGACGCCTTTGCACGTACCTGCCAGGCGTTCGGGTGTCCCCCTCCTCCTCCGTATCCCCCTTCTTGCGGGTAGAGATGAACCACGCGTTGGTCAATGTGTTCTCTTTCTGTTTGGGAAACACCAGATCGCTGGCAGACGCAGTCTTTTCTTGGGTGGGGGTGTTGGGGGGAAGAGGATACCGAACGCTGGGCCTGCCCACCGTCCTCCCCACGCTGGCCCCAGTTTTGGTAGCCTGGCAGCAAATCATCCGTGCATGAAGTCTTGGTGCTGCGAGGCCAAAATCAGCAATGTTTGTTGAGCGTTTTGTTTCCACCCGCCTTCTCAGGAATACGATGTTGATGAGGAGGAGGATGTTTGAATCTCCGTCACCTGCTATCAAGAAGGAAAGAGCAGTTATACAGCTATCTTCGTTGACACCCTTGCCCAGACAAGGAGAGCTGGAACCACTTGAGGATTGCAGTATTCGTGGCCAGCCTTCACAATAGGAGGAGGATGAGGAGAAGGAGGAGGAGGAGGAGGAGGAGGGGGAGGGACAGGAGCAGGAGGAGGGTGCGGAGAGGGGATTAGAGCGAAACCACTGTATATAGCTATGTATGTTTTGATCGAAAGAGAAACAGAGAGAGGGAGAGAACGAGAGGGTGGGAGAGAGAGAGGGACATAGAGAGAGAGGGGAGAGGGGGGTGAGGGGGAGGATGGGGGAGGGACGAGCAGGGAACACGTGACGAGAGGAGGGAGGAGGGATGAGGGCGAGGCATGATCACATACACGATCCCGGCGTGGGGGGGGGGGGAAACGGGCGGCATTCTGGGAACCTTCCCTCCACTTCCCGCTGCGTCTGCATGCTGCCTGCCCGCCTCGCGCTCTGGTCCTGCCCCTCTCCCCCCTCCGCCCGTTGCTCCTCCGCCCCTCTCCTCCCCGCAGCCTCTTGGCTCCGCAGCGCAGAGGGCCGGCCGCGGTTCGGGCGCGCGCGGGGCGCCTCCCGGCGCTCACGCCGCAGGCCATGGGCAAGCGGGCCGCCGCGAAGCCGAAGCCGGAGCCCAAGGCCAAGGCTCGGCGACTGCACAGGGCGCTTCGGCGGCAAACCATGGGAGTTGCCCAAAAATACGGCTAGCCGTGCCTCGGCTGCCCCTTTTGGGGGGGCCTCCTGGGAGGCCCTCGTCGCCACCGCTGGAGTCGCGTCGGAAGCCTGGTCAGAACGCACCCCGGAAGGGGTCCGTGGAGTAGAGGCATCGGTACCTTTTGGTTTCCCCAGTGTGTCCCCGTGATTTCGTGTCTAGGGTGCATCGGCGTGCGCTAGCGTGTGGTAATGGATGAGAAAGCGCCGATTGAGCATCGATTAGCGTCGATTTAGCGTCGATGAGCGTCGATTCGCGTCGGTGAGCGCGATTCGCAAGAGCCAGCAAGACGGCAGTGGAGGTTCCCATGAGTTGCCACCGAATGTGGTTACACCGAGAAGTGGTTCGCGATCGGCGCTGTTGGGGCTGAGGGGGTCTCCACGTGGCGCCAAAGGTTTTATGAGCCCTCGTAGGGACGCGGCGGAGATCTCTGTCGAGGTCCTCGCCCCCCTCCACCCCCCCAGGCGCGGGTTGCACACCACTCCCTCTGCAAACCACACCTTCGGGAGTCGTTGAAAGGCGGCCAAGCGGGCCAAGGCCGCCCCGGCGGAGACGGCCGCACCCCCCGAGGCCCCAAGCTTAACAAACGAGGGGCCTGGCAGCTGGGCTCGGAGGATCGCCGATGCATCGGCGATGCGGCTCGATCTTAGCGTCTGCTGATCACGCGATGGGCGATCACAGATCGCAGTGAGCGCAGGATCACGCGATCGCCGGTCATGATATCGTTTCGGCTTGCTCACGCGATCGTCCGAGCTGGCCTGCGTGAGCGATCCGTGATCGGCACGGTAACTGGCCATCGTGATCGGGGCGCGGTCGGGTGGCGTGATCGGGTGGCGTGATCGGCGAAGTGATCAGCCAGACACCGAGGGCTCGATGCGGAGCCCGACGTTCTCCGCGCCGACGTCGCCGATGCACCGACGTTGCGGAGCCCGATGTGCTCCGCGCCGACGTCGCCGATGCACCGACGATGCGGAGCACGATTTTCTCCGCGCCGATGTATCGGCGATGCAGCGGCGATCCTCCGACCCCGTCTGCTCGCGACCCCGCTTTGGAGAAACGGAGAGGCGGCGCCCGCGCACTGGGGGCGCCCGGAAGCGCCGGGCCTCGACCCGGAGGGCTCCCGCCTGCGCTTCTTCTCGGAGGGGGGCCAGCGGAGACAGTCCGGGTACAGCAGGGAAAAACGAGCACAGTGAAGCAGATGTTTCGGGGGGGCCCCTCAGGGAACAGCCCACCGACCGCACGAGCACGTCGGTTGTGGTTGTGGGTTGTGGACGATCTGGCCGTCCTTGGACGCCACATCGGCCACAGCCAGCACAAAATCTGGCTTCGGTGCTCTGACGACCGTTGCGATGCGCAGGACATCCCTGAGGGAGTGTCCTCGATGTGGTTATGGTCGCTTGCTGTCCCCGGAGGCAACACGGCAGCTCTCCCGCTCGGCCCAGGGCAGCTCAATATCGGCCCCCGGGCCCCTGCGTGGTCCCCAGATCATTGGATACCATATGTTTCCGGTCGCGATTGGTAGCGACCGATCGGCGTGCCCAACGGGCCGCGACTGATCGCAACCGATTTTGGACCAAATTGGCTGCAGCGGCCGAGACCGGAGTCTGCAGCAGCATCGGCAGCGACCGATCTCGTCGGTCGCGACCAGCAAGTTATATGGCATCCAATGATGCGGGCGGGTCGGACGAAAGGGGGGGGCGGGGGGGGAGACAGGGAAGGCGGACGGGGGGGGATAGGGAAGGCGGACGGGGGGGGGGGATAGGGAAGGCGGACGGGCGGGGGATAGGGAAGGCGGACGGGGTGACGAAAGGGGGGGGGTTAGGGAAGGCGGACGGGGGGGGGGGGGGCGCGAACTCCGCCGCATGGCGCTTGTGTCTGGCCCGCCGCCCAGCGCTGTCCTCGATGATTACGTGTGCGCGCTTGGCGCGGAGAGGCGCGGGCACAGCCGGCTGCGTGCGCTGAGTCGCTCATCCCCCCCCCCCTCGGCTATGATCCCCCTCCCCCGTCCGTCCGACCCGACCCTCCTGGGGTGCACCCCGAGGCGGCTCTAGCCGCGGCGACGCTTGTCGAGGCGGATCTGGCCGCGGCGACGAGAGGCCCCCCACACGAGGACCGCGCCGCATCGCCGAGGCATCGCCGAGGCGTCGCCGATGCATCGGCGAGGCATCGGCGAGGCATCGGCGACGCATCGGCGTCGTCGGCCTGGAAGACGCCGGGCTCCACACGTCGGGCCGCATCGCCGATGCCTCGGCCATGCCTCTGCGATCGTCCGACCCCATCTGCGCGGACCCCAGCTCGGAGGCCTCGGGAGCCGTCGGCGGCGCGCCCCCCCCCGGGGAGAGGTGGGAGGGCGGGCGGGCCTGCTCGGAAGACTCCCCGAAGTCCCCCCGGGCCCTCGGAGAGAAGTCGTACGCCGAGCCTTCCCCCCGGAGGCGCCGGAGACTTCTCGGAAGTCTCTCCCTCGCGCTTCCCCCCCCCCCCTCTCTCGCTCGCCGCCGACAAAGGGCCGCCGTGGTCTCGGCAGGCCCTCCTCCGATCCTCCTCGTCGACATCGAGGACCACTGCGGCGCGCAGGAGTCTGGTGGACCCAGAAGGGGTCCAGCTACAAGGTGGTGGTACAGTAGATCTAGTGCAATAGATTGGCCGGCAATAGCTTTGGGGCGTGCCATACATTCCAGGGCGCAAATGTATTGCCGTTTTTTTGCATGCATCTCCAATGCGATGCACTACAATTCTCCGGCGCAATGCATTTGCAATACAGTTGTCCCAAATCTACTGCACCACCCCCTTCTTAGCTGGACCCCCTTCTGCATATGGGCCACCTAAGAGGAGCTGGGGGACGAGCTCCGGCTCTACGGCGTCACTGCTGGGGGCGCGTCGCTGGCCGCGAGGCTCCGAGGCGTGCGCCCCTACTTCTACGTGCGCTGCCCCCCGGAGTGCCGCGGAGACGGCGGGGCGGTGGAGCTCGGAGGAGGCAAAGGCACCGATACCCGCTACCCTTCCTGGGCCTTTGTATGGGGCATTCCAAAAAGGGCCTTGCCTTCGAGGACCGAAGGAGTTGTCACTTCTTCCGCGGCGGAAGGCGGCGGAAGGGCGGTGGAAGGTCGGCGGAAGTAAAACGATGCCGCCTCCGCGGGCGGAAGCCGGCGGAAGGGCGGCGGAAGGTGGCGGAAGTAAAGAATGCGTCCCCAAGAGATGAGCACGTTTTTGGGTTCAGGGTTTCCGCAATCGCCCATACAATATATATATATA